AGTTTTATGCTTTGAGAGAACCTGAGAGGCTCGGAGAACGGGATGAAGATCAGGGAACCATGTTGCCCCATTATGGTAATGCACAATCTAAAGAACTGCCCAATAACCCATGATCCAACAATTAACGCAGCAAACCCCCAACTTTCAAAATGCAAAAAACAACTCATTTAGCCCCTGGAACAACGCTCTTGATTTTCGGTTCCCGGGTTTCGTTCGTGCCTCTCATGATGGCACTTGCGCGAGTTGTTCCTTGACGTTGTTTGTAGTCCGGATCAACCAACAAACTTGGCTGCAGGGCGGAAAAGTTCTTTCGCTCTTGTTGCCCTTGTGGGTGAGCTTGGGCTTATGCCGTTTGATGTTGTGATCAAGGAGTGACGCGACGCGCCCAGCTGTTTGTGCGCTTTGGCCATCGTTCCATTCAGTTGATGCTGCACCGTGATGCAATTCTTGCGCCAGTCGCTCTACCGTGTGTTTTGCATTTTCCTTGAAGTCGCTTGTAGCCTGGATCAAGGAACAAGGACACAGGGCTGTTTGAGAGTGCGGTGGCCATGGTTGTTCTGGCCCCAGCCACTGGCTATCGTTTCCCAGCCTCAAGTTTCGGCTTCGCGCGGCTGTCACAAGTCTTGAGTAATAACAGAAAGAATTAAATTGAATAAGGTTGCAGTGTCCGAACGGGTCTGCCCGTGCTCCACACTAATGCTGGCCGCGTTTGCGACTGTTAGCTAGCTTGTTAAGCAGGCAAGGGACATCTTAGCCGGCTAAGAAGGAGCCACTGCCTGGTAAAACTGAAGCCAACCCGGCTAGAAAACTGAAGCTGGAGTCAGAGAGCCGCGAAAGTTAGTTAGGCTGAGAGGTGGCGGTGTAAGGTGGGATAATAAAGCTGTGCAAACCTAGATATTGATGGTTTCTTCGCAGGCATGGTTGTTCAAAGAACTGGCAATCCGTTAAACATAGATAAAGGCACTGGCACATTTGTTTGCAGCAGTGGAAAGTTTGTTACCGTGGCCGGAAGCTTGTTAAAGCAGCTGCCTGTCTCTTAAAACAAGTGAAAGTTTGTTGAACTTGCTGCTTGGCTGTGCAGATGACTAGAAGCTTGCTTATGTAAAGGGCTGGAAGTTTGTAGGGAAGGCTGCAGGTTTGTAAAAGCGGCTGTGAGTTTGTGAGAGGGGGCTGGGCGTTCGTTGAGCAATGATGCGCCACAATCTCTCCAACGCGCAATGCCTGCATCTTCACTTTGACAGTGGTTGCTGCCGCTTGCAGACGCCCATTCCTGCGCTGTCGCCTTCTCCTTGCAGCACCGGTCAACGCGGCTGCTGCGCGTCGGGCTTCAACTTTTCCTTCCAGCACCTCTGCGGTTTGCGCGGCTGCCGCGTGTCGGGCTCCAACCTTCGGGCGCTGCTGCGCGCAAGCACCCATCCATTCTCGTCAGCTTAAAGCGGCTCTGCGCAAGCCCACCTCCCTGCGCGTTATCACCTCTTGGCTTGGGCCCCAAAATTCGGAGCGAGAACAAGGAGAAAGCGGGGCGCACGGGCCTTGGGCCTTGGCCCAAGGGTTGAAGCCCGATACGCGGCAGCCGCGTAGTCGGGCACAACCCTCGGGCCAGGCCCACCGGAATGGTGGCTGCCTCTTGCAGGCACCCATCCCCGCATCACGCGGCTGCCGCGCGTCGGGCACCCACCCGAATGGCGGCCTCTTGCAAGCACCCATCCGACCCATGCGCTTGTGCTTCAACGCAGCTGTGTCGGGCCTGAATCTTCGGGCCGCAGGCCCACCCAGACGGCGGCTGCTCCCAGCGTTGCGCTTCCGGGCCTCAACCCTCGGGCCGCAGGCCCACCAGGTGGCTGCACATGGCCGACATCACCGTCGTCTGCATTTTATCTATGTGCGTCGCCTTTCTCCTTGCCGCACCTCCTGAACGGACGCGGCTGCCGCGAGCTGGGCTTCAATCCTCGGGCCGATGCTCCAGACATCTCCAGACCAAGCGCGCTAGACTTTTTCACGCGGCTTTCCGCCGGAAGCCTCTCTGCAGTTTAGATTTCGATAGCTTGAATCTCTTGGCTCAATATTACCTTCGCGCTCTACCCCTGCTGCCCTGCAGTCCTTTAACGCGGATTTTCGGTAGGTTGATTGGCTGGCAGTCGCGCAAGTGGGAAAACTTGCCCAAGCAAACTTGTTAACAGGCATACAAGTAGACAACGGGGCCATAATGAGCAATCGAGCAGCAACCCGTATCATATGATTCTGTCTAGACATGTTGCAGCACCATTGCTATCTGAATAACCTTGTACGCGCGATAAACAGTGTCTGAAAGCCGAAAGGCTGCGATCAAGTTAGAACCAGCTCACGTTCTCGGCGACACAGACGTGAAAGCGGCTTTCCTTGCGGGCTCCGCGTGTTGTGTTGCAAAGTGCGCCGGCCAGCCCGCAAGGCGCTGGGAGTTCTGGGCAAGTGGCAACCAAGCAAAGTTCTGCCGAAGGCGCCCCGCCCTAAAGAGATGCGGGTTTACACGGGCAAGTCACAAGGCGCTAGCGCCTATGAGAAGCTTGGTGGCGGAGGCCTTCAGCCCAAGCTTGGGGTGGGTCCAGGTAAGAAAGCAGTCTCAGACCAACTACAGCTTCCAGCGGCATCCTTGAAGGGAGTGACACATGACGCAAACGGCTCCGAGACACGCGGCAGATCTCAAGATGGACAGGCAAGCGTTGCGGGCAACGCGCGAACGCGCGACACGGCTCAAGGTCAACTCCCGTCTCACGGTCAACTCCCTCATGCTACGTGACGCGAGTAAGTAACGCCGAGGTCAAGCACCCAAGTGGCAGGCCAAATCCAGAGTTTCATGGGCAAGTTCTCTACAGCGAGCGTAGCCGCGATCTGAATTAACGATTGAGGCGCCAAAAGGGTTTACACGGCCAAAGGTCAAGCGCCCACATGGCAGGCCAGATCCGAAGCTACACGGGCACGTTCTACAGTTAACGCAAACGTGGCCTGAGTTAACGGCGGAGGGGTAAGAGCGATGCAAATGGCCCGAGGTCAAGCGCCCGAGTGGCAGACTAGATCCGGAGTTACACACGCAAGTGCGACAGTTAACGGCCACATGACCTGAGTTAACGGTGGACGCGCCAAAGTGGTTTACATGGCCCGAGGCCAAGCGCCCGAGTGGCAGACCAGATCCGGAGTTACACGCGCAAGTGCCACAGTTAACGGCGACGTGACCTGAGTTAACAGCGAAAATTCAGAAGTAGAGCAGTTCAAGTGGCCCGGGGTCAGGCGCCCGAGTGGCAGACCAGACCCGGGGTTACGCGGGCAAGTTCTACTGTTAGCGGCGAGGTCACTGCGTTCACGGGCGGAGTTGCGACAGTAACTCGACATGCCCGAGGTCAGGAGCCCGAGTGCCAGACCAGATCCGGAGATACGCGGGCCAGTCCTACAGTTAACGGCGAGGTCACTGAGTTAACGGGAAAGCGACTTGGATTGCCCAAGGTCAAGAGCCCGAGCGGCGAGCCAGAGCCGGGGTTATGCGGAGAAGGCTGCCGGCCAAAATGCTCAAGCGAAGTGGGTCACCTGTGCGTGTAACACCTGACCGCAAGGTGAAAGCAGCGCGTGTTCGAGCTGAGGCGAATCACTAGAAAGTGACAGCGCAAGCTTATGAACATGCAAGCGGCGGGATTTTTGGGCATCGGACCGCCACACACCCACGCGCGGACACACAAAAAGAAAGCCTATATACACACACAAACGCTCGCAGCGAGCGCACGCAAGCGCGGAAGCAAGCAAGCGCACGAACGCACGCACCACGCTCACGCACACGCATGCACGCAAACGAGCGCAAACGTCGCGCGAACACAGACGTGTGTGCGCAGGCGCACAGCGTGTGTGTGCGCAAGCGCGTGCACTGACGGACGCGCGCACGCAAGCACTTCACGATCCTGCATGGGTTTCGTCCGTGGGTCTGTGGCGTGGCGGAGTCTTGGAATATGAGACTATCTTAAAACTTACACACCTTTCTGAGAAAGCGTTCAGGGAAAAAAGGCTGCGCAGAGGACTCGGGAGTTAAACGCGGCATAAAAATGTTAAGTTGGTCAACAAAAAGTTAAGCCAGCCACTCAAGTGTTAAAATTGCCATTGATAAGTTAAAGGTGCAACAACAAGAGTTAAACTTGCCTTTCAGTAGTTAAAGTGGCAATGAACCAGTTAAAATGGGAATGAAAAACATAATGGCAGTCACTCAATCGTTACACGGGAACATGTAAGGAGTTAAACGAATCATCAAACGGTTGGCAGCGTGATGCAAACACATCGCAACAATACTCAGCTGTTGAGTCCTGGCATGTCCCCTCAACGCCCTCAGACAAATCTTAGCCAAGCCGCTGATGTTATGCTCCCTACCCTAGGCTGAAAGAAAACTAGCTTCGGTTCAAACAAGCCAACATCCAACATACAAAAGCAAGCCGAGGGCCATGCCCAGAATTGGACGCCCTCCTATGCGTAACTCACGAACAACACCGCTTAACTCTGGAGATAACACGCACCTCAAAACTCACGATATGTGGCAAACCTCACTCAGACCCCAGTTGGACGCTCCAAGAATAAGGGAGGAAGTGAAGGGGGGCGACGAGGGAGGAGAGCAAAGCGAAGAGCGGGGAGAAGGAGAGAAGGCGTGGAACTAAGATGAACTAAGGCTTGGGTGTGGGCAGAAGAGCAAGCGCGGAGAAGAGGGCGGAGGAAGCGGAGCGAAGCCCCAAAGCACTTATCTCAATGTGTTTTTTGGAGTCATGGCGTCAGTGCTTGCGTTAATGCTTGGTTCCCAAGACCCTGAGACCCACAACTTCCACCCACTTTTGCTTCTCAGCAGCAGGCTAGCCCAGATTTGATGCTTAGAAGGGCCTACAGTTGAAGCATGTCTTTTTCCCAAGGTCGTGTAGGGGAACCTGCGCCACAACTAACCACTGCCACCTTTTGACGCACCATGAACCCAACAAAGCACCCCATCTATCAAAAGCGTCCTCCAAGCGCAGCATCAAGAGATCGGCTTCTGCCGCGGATACCACTGACGCCTTCACAGGGCAAGCACAACTGGTAATATGTCACTGCGTTCCTCTCGAATAAAACTGGCACATCATGATGCCCTTGCCTCCCGCTCCATGTGAGCTGAAATCAAGCTTTCGAGAAACTTGGCATACCTGGACACTCCAGAGCAAACTCATTGATGACACCTGACTGGCCGCCAATACAACCACAAACATATTCTAGATGTATATGTATACTGTATATATATATATATTATGTTTGATATCCATTTTATAACATTCACACATTGACATACACAAAAACAAAACCTGCACTCCCAACCACTGGAGGCACGCTTCGAAAATGAGGGAGAAGTCGTGGACCTGAATCGGGTGCTGATACGACATCATCTGCACATCACGTTTCGGAATCACTTCCGTCAGATTGAAACAGCTGGGGTGTACCCACTGTGCTAACCGTAGACATAGCTTCCTCGTAGATGTCTCGGGCTTTTTCGAACTGTCCGAGCCTGACGGCGGACATACGAGCAGGGCAACAAAATCAATGCCAGGTGTCCCAGTCATACGGATGCAATGCAAGCCCAGGTCCTGATGAAGTGATCTCCCAGAGAGATCCAAAGCCGACCAACCTACAAACACGCCAGTCTTGGAGTGAGTGCAACTTCTGGCATTGTCCTGGCCTCATCTGTGAACTGTCGAATACCGCTGCGAATGATCGACCTTGTTTTGTAGAAGTCACTCAGGAAGAGGCTGTGTTCAAACAAGAATGAGATGCTTCCTGTAGCTGTTGATTCATGGAACCAAGCTCCCTGCTCAATGTTCAAGGACTTGATGTCGGCTGGATGCTTTGACACCTTGCAATGGCTTGCAAAGTTGGAATACACATGCAATCACCAACATCTCTATGAAATGTTCATGAGACCCGATGACGCCGCGACTCCCTGGAATAAAACTGACCAGAAGGCAGGAGTCTCCAGAACCAACAGATGCGCAAGAGCGTGTTTGTTGTCAAGCCCGGTGTCGCGTCAAAGCGAAGTGGAGCAGTTCCTTTTTTCCCAAACCCATGCAATGCACGTAGGGGCAAAGAACGTGCTGGAAGCGGCACACGGATGAGGATCAGCTCAGGGGCACACAGCAGAAGACTTATGTACAATGGCAGACCCGGCCAAGCACCCCAGAATAAAGAAGTCTAGCAAGTATGAGAAACCGCACCTGTATTGTTCACCATCGAGCCTTGCCAACAATGCTTTAAGTATTCGATCTTGAGTGCGTCCCTTGTATGGTCCGCATAGAGGATGTATATTGGGAACCATCCCGGGTAAACCTACTTGGCCAGACTAGCAATCCCCCCCTGAATTCGTGGAAGCCTCGGGATGCAAAAACGCACACCCTGCCAGCGTTCCATGCCAACCGTGCCACACCGGAAAGCAGAGGTTTCCACCGAGGAGGACACGAGATCGCAGAGGTCCATCCACAGCTGATGCCGAGTCTTGCCCTCCATAGAGCTGAAATCCTGCTCCAACGCTTGCGAAGAGATGCAGGGAATGAGGAATGGAATCCCAAGAAACACGGCTGCCATGGCTTCCTTTAAGGGAATCCCCAGGTTCCTTCCCTGCATGACGCAGGAAAAAAAGGTGAACATGCTTGCTGGGGCGATAGGCAGGGAATGGGAATGAGAAATGGGATGACAAGAAAAACCATCTCTAATGGCTTCTTGAAGGCCCTGATTGCCTACTGAGCACCAGCGAGAAAAAACCTTAGTATACTTCAGGCCTCACGAATTGCCTCAATTACATTTGACGCCTCGTCATCCACCACGTTGGCGAGTTTCTGAGCTGCTTCGTCGTACTTCCTTGGCATCAGCGCAGTACTCACAAGGCTTGTAAATCACACATGAGTCATAATCAGAACCTGGTATTGGGGTGGTCTGCCCAGAATCATGTGGAGAATCAAAGGGCGGCTGCGATTACTCATGGTTGGGATTGTCACTGTCCCCTACTAACTTTCCTCCACCCTGTAGCTCACATGTTGCTTGTCACAATTCAAAGCAGAGCCAAGAGCGGCACCCAATTGTTCGCAAGTACGCTATGTAGATCTGAGGCAGGGCAAGATCTTGGATTTCTGCCACTGAAGAGTGTCATCCAAGGGTCCTCAACGTGGTCAGGCTCCAGCATGAGATACCGCCGAAATGCGCACAACGCAGTCTCCTGTGCACCCAACATGAGTTCAAGCTGTACTGTCCAGCAAGGAATGCACCGACAACGCATGTCTGTTTTGAACTGTGACTTTTGCGCATAGTCTGAGAATCTACGAGAAATCGTTCTCTTGACAATTGTTGTGCCCCCAGTTGAAAACGCACAGACTCGGGCCGCCTTTGGCACCTCGCCATCCTTGATGAACTTGACATAAAGCTCCTGCCAAAACGCTCTATCTGCATGAAGTCACGCAGCAAATGGCAGCTGCAAACGCTATGGGT